TGCATCCGTTGTTATGTGTCCTATTTTGTGGAGCAGCAGAAAACAAGCTTGCTCCATCCTCAGTATGGCATCCCTTCAAATACTTAAACAGGGCTATCATATCACCTCTTAACCATCTCTTCTCCAGGCTAAAAATACCCAGCTCCCTAAGTCTTTCCTCATAAGGCATGGTTTCCAGATCCTTCACCATTTTGATCGTCCTCCACTAGACGCTCCAGCTTGTCAACATCCTTTTTGAATTGTGGTGCCCAGAACCACAGTATTAGAGCTTCCTAGCAGAAAATGCTAAATTTGTTACCAAACTACCAAATCCAGGATACTCTTGGATGGAGCCATGACAGCTAAAGAAGGATCAAATCTATCACACAAATATTATGGGCTGCTATTATAGACCTTTTATTGAAACAGGCTTTTGATTTTTAACTGGATGGAGCAAAAAGTTTTTGTAATGAGGTATGTTGTATCTTGTTACATCTTGAATGTATTTTAAACTATTTTAATTGGATTGTTCATTAAACATTTTAAAAACCTTTGTTTTATTACTTTAGCTGTATTTTAACTTGCTTTGGGTTCCATAATGGGAGAAAAGGTAGGATATAAGTTAAATAAATTTATAATAGAAATTACTTACAAGACTGTTTCATTACATTTATTTTTTGGGGGTGAAGATAAAAGTGTTAATAGTGGCAATGGAACAACCACAGTAAGAAGCCAGAAAATAAGGGCTGAGTCTTAAATGGATGGATTTTTCTTCCCCTTCCTCAGATCATTACCCCAAGCCATCCATCGCTGTGAGTCCTGGCACTGAGGTCTTTGCAGGACAGGATTGGATTATCCGTTGTTGGGCTCCATCTCCAGGGGTAAGCTTTGTCCTCTACCAGGCCAGAGAGTTTCGGATTGAGGTCACCCCCCGGGGAGACTCCAACGTCGCTGAATTCTCCTTAAAGAATGTTACTACGGCTGACGCAGGCCGATACACCTGCTATTACCACAGCATCACAGAGCCGGTCATCTGGTCGAATGCCAGTGATGGAGTGCAGCTGAGAGTCATTGGTGAGAAAATGCATTAACACATCTTGGGTGGAGAGTTGCCAGAAATGGTCCTATCATTAGGCAGAGTGAGACAACTGATACAAGAGGAAGATTTTGGGGTGGGAGAATAAAGAGATAGCAATGGCTGTCCTTTGTTCATTCTTCCTGAACTTTTTCCCGGTCATTTCTGTTGCAAACAAAACAGACCTGTGTGCCAGATGGCCTCTCCTATTCTTGTAAATTCTGAGAGCCAGTGGTGCAGTGGTTTGAGCATTGGACTAGTACTCTAGAGACCAGGGTTCACAGCCTGGTTTGGTCATGTGAACCCACTGAGTGACCTTGGGCAAGTAACACTCTCTGAGCCTCAGAAGATGGCAATGGCAAACCTCTTCTGAAGAAACTTGCCAAGAAAACCCCATGATAGGGTCATTTTAGGTTTGCCATATGTCGGAAACGACTTGAAGACACACAACAACAACAAATTCTTTTAAATTGGTTTGTGACCCCCAAAAGTGATGGAGAATGTTATTAATTGCCAGTATTCAAATGGCAATCCAGTCAGTTTCTATAAGTGGAATGGGAGAGGAAGTGCCATCTTGTACTTCAATACAGGTAGCAAAATGTCAGAGCCTTGTAACTAATTGTAACTTGGACATGACAAAGTCCAGAAAGGTCCAGGTTCTGAGCTGATACCAGGCCTAATTCCAGACCTCTCAAGGACTTTGTTTAGTGCAGAGACTGACGTGTGTTACTGGATAAAGATAATCTTTTCTGATGATACACTGATGCAGCAGATGGTTTGCAATAGAAGGATATGCCAAGTTCTTTATCTGATAGTTCTCTAGCACTCCTAGGACCAACACTTCAAATTCATTAACCTAGAATACAGCCTCCATAAAGTGGTGTGCACCCTGTTCAGGATAAGGCAAGTATTATTAGAAATCAGTTTTCTATCTAAGAATGGAGTTCATGTAATAAAGACTTAGGGGGGTTGCAGACTGTCAGAAATAGTGCAAATTCAGTCCACTTTTAGGGTTAGGGTTAGAGCTAGGGGATCATGGGGATTGTTTTTTTCTGAGACATTGAGCCTTCTCTGTCAGAGAGCTCTAGTGCCACAATAAACTACAGTTCCCATGATTCCCTAACCCTAACCCTAAAAGTGGACTGAATTTGCACTTTTTCTGACAGTCTGCACCCCCCCTTAGTTTGTTCTCTGAGCCATTGGTGTCTTTGCTGCTTAGTCAGATCTTCTTGTGCTGCTGCACTAGACTGATTTCTAACAAGTGTAAGATGGATCAAAGTGCTCAAATAGTGTTTAACATATTTTTAAGTAAATATTTGTGATCACAAGGACTAAAAACTTTCCTTTGGAAAGAAAAAAAAGGGGGGGAGGGAAATAAAATTTGGACATATGTGAGCTTCTCCTGAGCTGCCACTTTTCAGTTTTATTACTTAACAGTTCTGTTCTTGGCTCTTTTTCCAGATGCAGCCGAAGTCTCCAGTTATCAGGAGGTGTTGGTGGATTCTTCAGGGAGATATCGAGTGAACTGCTCAGTGCCCTCTAGTCCTGGGGGCTGGTTCTACCTTTACCAGGGTGGGCAGCTCATTGCTGAAACTAGAGTTCGGCAAGATGGGACAACTACAAGCTTCAATCTCACAGAAGAGGCATTCAATATCACTAAGGGAGAGCTAACATGCCAATATGAACAATACCCACTAGATCACACTGAAGTATGGACACAAGGTGAGCCCAAAGAGAATGAGAGAAGTGGAGAATGAGACTAGTAGTAAGTAGAGTTATATCATGCCATCAGTATGTATGGTGTGTTTGAGAGAACTGGCAGAGAGAGTCCCCTTCCCAAGAAGTTTCAAATCAAAAACTCAACAAAGACAGGGAAAATCAAAGGTTGGAGTAAAAAAGGAAGGGCTATGCAATTACAGTACTCCAGTTAGGTGCATTTAGTTAGGATACAAGGTTAATGGTAAGAATCATAGGGACCCCCATGTAGCAGCAGCCATTGATGTTTTTGTGGGCTCCAGGCCCTTTAGCCCCTCCAGAAACCTCAAGGAGGCATAATTCTGCAAAACAAGTTCCCTAGCATGTTGCTTTAGGAAACCATATCCAAATCTATTTGGGGAGGGGGGCTGGGGCTTGGAAGTTATTTTAAAATATCAGATTATATTTAAATCATCTTCAAATGACTTCCAGTTTTGCCAGGAAAGCTTGGTCTGACCCACAGAGTCAAGGGTAGGGTTGCAATGTGAAATACAGGACAGGGCTAGTATATCTTTAATGGCTGTGTAGAAGAAGGAATTTCACAAAGTGTTGCTTTAATTACTTAAGCAACATCTCCTGAAATTCCCTCTGATCCACAGCTGTTGAAGATACAGGGGCTCTGTCTTGTATTTCACCCAGCAAACCTGGTAAAAAATGGCTCCCAAAGCCCTCTTTCCAACAATAGGAAAATCTGCCCTTGCCTGGTTTCCTCCAAAATTTATTAGAATACAAATTCCATCATCCCCAGCTAGCCTGATAGGATGTCCAATACACCTGGAGGGAAGCAGTTTGGAGAAGGCTTCAGCAAGGGGTGGTAACGTACAGGAATTGTGTTAAAGACTAGATGGAAAATGTTGGTTTTGAAGAGGGATTTAAAGGAAGAACGAGAATTGATAAGATGATGTATAGTCATGGAAATATGGATGTAGTGAGGCTAAACAGATAACTACACATTGGATGATAGGGTGGAAAAAGTGCAAGCATATTTCTATGGATTTTTTAAAAAAGTCCACCCAAAGAAATAATGAAGAAAATAATATATTACATTGTGGTTTTACCTTCTCCAGTGTTAGCATGCTCCAGGTGTGTTGGACTACTATTGTCCCTGATGATGGGTGATATAGTCCAACATATCAGGAGGGCACTAGTTGTGAGAATCTGCATTTAGACCCTGCCATTTCAGAAAAGGTATTCAAGCAATAGTTACAAAACTGCCTGTATATCAATTTTCTCATTTCTCCAAAGATTCACATACCGAAAGCACTGATTTCACCACAACTAACTCACTGCGACTTGGGTTTGGAGTCAGCATCCTTTTATTAGCCCTGTTCTTCATCGCTGATGCATGTTGGACTGAGGTACATCAGGAGATCTGAGCCATGGGATGGGAATCCTTGAGCAGCAAGACCCCATTGAGCCAATGGAGACTGTGGCATAATGGACCTTCCTGTTCTTGGCAGAGAAGAGACATATGGATGGACTAGAAGCCAGCCTATGATAGCTGCTTGACTGCAGTCTTTGGTCCATTTACCCCAGAGTAGCCACATCAAAATAAACAGAAACAGCAGCTTTGGCCTACAACCATTCATGGATACACATGCTTTCCATTATCACCCTATGTGTGATTGCTTTATTTTATACTGAGTCAGACCATGAGATCATCTGTCTTGGTAAAAATGTCATGCCTCAGTGGTAAAGCACCTCTGGAAAATATCCAGGTTCAATCTTGGGCATCTTCCAATAGGACTCAAAAAGATGTCAGTCTGAAAATCTGAAGAGCTACTGCCAGTCAGTCCTGACAGTACTAAGCTAGAAGGATTGACGGGGGACCAAACAACATTGTTTTCTTTTCTCTCTTGGCATTGCAGTGCTTGGTTCAGGCACATGGTGAATGGCACACTTCTCCATCCGTTGAGAGCTGAGTTCTCCTTCAATATTCCTTGTTGAAGGAGCAAATCCCATTAATGATTTTATTTTATAATTGTGGCTTCTGTGCACCACTAATGTGTACTCCCTTTAGCACTCTTATTGTTGCTGTGTGCCTTCAAGGCTTTTCCAACTTATGGTGACCCCCAAGGAGAACCTATAATGGGGTTTTCTTGACAAGATTTGTTCAGAGGGGGGTTTGCCGTTGCATTACTCTGAGGCTGAAAGAGCGTGACTTCCTCAAGATCACCCACTGGGTTTCTATGGCCAAGGTGGGATTTGAACCCTGGTCTCTGGAGTCTTAGTCCAGCGCTCAAACCACTGCACCACACTGGCTCAAGTAAGACTTAGCACAATTACAGGTGGAAGTAAGTTCAAAGTTATAGAACCTTTTTGGCATGTTTCACCTCCAGAACTTAAACTGTGATCTCAGGCAGGAAGTCTGTGCTTGCCCTGCATCTCCTCTGAAGATCGTGGAGTAGCCATGATGGGTTTTTTTCTCATTAAAAACATTCTTGCACAGTTCTGTGTGCACTTGTCAGACTGGAACTTGAAATAGCACCAAGGGTTCTCACACATCCAATTGCAGCACCATAGTGTGGCTTGTGGGATGTGCCTTGACCCAACCCAGCAAAGAAGCCATTCCTCTAGTTACCAATTGGCACTGCTCTGGCCCCCACTGAAAGAAGAAGCAGTAATCCTTCCATTGTACTTCCAGTCCAATGGAAATCCCACTAAACTTTACTACCTTCCAAACCTTGTAAGAAATTACTGAGTAAAGCAAGAGCCCAAGTTCGCTTTCTTCCTCTTCCTTCCCTGACCCTTTTCCTTTCATGTTGTGTCTTTTAAAGTAGAAACCTATGGACACATACACTGTTGTGGCTCCACTCTGGTGCCATAACATACTACAGCCCCCAGAATTCCATAGCCTTGAGTCATGGCAGTTAAAGTGGGGTCAAATCGGATTATTTCTGCAGTGTGGATGCAGCCAAAAAGAGCCTCCTGTATCTCTGCTTAGAAATGCAGACACAAAGGGGGGTTGCAGACTGCCAGAAATAGTGCAAATTGAGTCCACTTTTAGGGTTAGGGTTAGTGCTAGGGAATTATGGGAATTTTTTTTCTGAGACATTGAGCCTTCTCTGTCAGAGAGCTTTGGTGCCACAATAAAATACTGTTCCCATGATTCCCTAACCCTAACCCTAAAAGTGGACTCAATTTGCACTATTTCTGGCAGTCTGCAACCCCCCTAAAGTGTATAGCTAGAGCCCTCTCTAGCAGTTACTTTAAGCACTCATAGGGATTAAAAAGAAGTGGCACACGGTCATCTTTGGAAACTAATGGAAAATCTATATTTTTATACAATTCAAGTCTCCCTAAAAATAAACCTTTCTGTTCTTGAGTTCCTCTGTATGGTTTCTTTTATTATTTCGTTGTGCTCTTAAACCTTTATTCCAATACTCTATTCATCTCTGCAGAAACCATGGTTGCCATGGTGTGTACTCCTAGACTTTCGGGGATGGAGTCATGACTTAATGGTGTTTGGCTACACCTGTACAAAAGATGGAGTTGTAGGGTAGGAAAAATAAGCAGCCTGCTTGGGGGCGAGAGAAAGCATGCATGCGGCGAAGTGTCAGTTCATAAAAAATTTTACCCCAGGGATCCCTCTGTTGCCTCCCAGCTTCCCAGAATGTACCTGTCCCTTTTCAAGGGAGATTTTCTCTTGAGAGTCAGATCAAGGCATTTTTGCTGCATTTTGCAAATGATGCTCTTTCCCAAGGCCCAAGGAATTTTGCTACCTGAGGAAGAACAACAAATGCAGGGTTTATCCACGACTGATCCAATATATTTTGCTGCCTGAGGTGAGACACAAGAGAGCACAAGATATTCTATCTGCAAAATAAACCTTACTACTGTATATATTCATGTATAAATCTAGAAATTTAGGTTTAAAAATTGACCACAAAAACCTGAGTCGATTTATCCATGGGTCAATGTAAGTCAGGTGTAGGCAACCTTTCCCCTTTAAGGGCCGAGGGACTTCAGCTCCCAGAATCCCAGGAGCTATTGGCCAACATGGGACTATTGGCCAACATGGCTGAGGCTTCTGGGAGCTGAAGTCCCTCGGCCCTTAAAGGGGAAAGGTTGCCTACACCTGATGTAAGTACTGTACTTCAAATATGTAAAACCATCCCCTGGTGAAAGGGAAGAACCCTGGAAGCACTGACCCCCTTCTACTCTTTCATCCATCCAGCCTTCAGTATGAGCACAAACAGTTATGCCTCCTGGAATTTTGTAAGTTTGTTGGCATCCCTTTCCTTTGCTTTGTCATTTACATCCTTCTTTGCATGCCCCTAAGTCAGGGGTAGGCAACCTGTCCCCTTTAAGGGCCGAGGGACTTCAGCTCCCAGAAGCCTCAGCCGTGTTGGCCAATAGTCCCATGTTGGCCAATAGCTCCTGGGATTCTGGGAGCTGAAGTCCCTCGGCCCTTAAAGGGGACAGGTTGCCTACCCCTGCCCTAAGTTTTACCCCTGACTTATCCACGGGTCACATCAAAATACATAATTTTGGCCCTAAAGTCTGCCCTCAGCTTATACATGAGGTCGACTTATAGCTGAGTATATATGGCATTTTGTGAGGAAACAGTGGCCTTTCTCCCAATGGTATCCCCATCCCTGGTCTAGTGGCATCACTAGTGTAGCAGATAAAACAGGAACGGAGACCCTTGGATTATCCAGAAATGTAGAGTTTATTTTACATCGACGGACTCTCAGACAGGTTAGTCCTGTGACTTGAAAGCCCCTCCCTTGGCTAATCAACATTCTTATATACCAGGGGTAGGCAACCTAAGGCCCGGGGGCCGGATGCGGCCCCCTGAGGCCTTTGGATCGGCCCCAGGCCAGTCCTGCTGCCGCCGCCGCCACCCACCATAATGATATTGATTATTGTTGTTATTACTTGTTCTTGGGGTTTTCTTGGCAAAATCTCCACAGGGGTTTTGCCATGGCTTTTCTGGGGCTGAGAGAGTGTGCATGCATATTTTAATTTTTTAAAATTATTTATTTATTTATTTATTTATTTATTTATTTTTGGTGTTTTGGCCCCCCAATTGTCTGAAGGACAGCAACCCGGCCCCCGGCTCAAAAAGGTTGCCTACCCCTGTTATATACCATCTTACACAGCTAGTTTATAATTACATTAACACATGCATAATTCAACACTTTCATTAGTTAGAAGATACTGATTACATATTAAGCTTCTACTTGCCATGGGTGAACTATTTTGGCATTACTCATCAACACCTGGACTAACTAATTGGGTCCTATCTCCTTAATTTCCTAACTTTATTTCCAGTCCAAACCATCAGTCTTACTAATAGACATCAACAACCATCCCTTTTCCTATCTCTTTGGCTCTGAAACAGTCTTTGCTATCTTTTTCAGTGAAGCCAAACTGAAAGCCTTTTACAATTGCT